TCCACTATAAGGAAAACTTCCTTTTCCTAAGAGACTGCTTGCCTGGTTGTTCTTGGCATCTGTGCTAGCTGGCCTCAGAGAGTAAGCCCTTTGTTTGGTCCCCAAGACCCAGACCTCTTTTATACAGACTGATGGCTTGCAACATCTGGGTCCCAAGCAACAGGGGTCTTGAGAGGACAAGCTGGCAAAGATTCCATTGAGCCCCTAACACTGGGGCAGTGACCCCCAAGGTCAGAAATCTGCCTTCCTGGGAGCTTTCCATAGTCTGGTACAAACCTTGCCCAGGCTGTCATCCTCTGGGGGTGGAGTTATGTTCCAACCTGACACTTGCCACTCTCCTGTGCCAATGAGGAGTCCTCTTCTGCCCCTTCTTGCAGCGGGAAGCAATCAATTGCCATCGATGACTGCACCTTTCACCAGTGTGTTCGACTCAGCAAGTTTGACTCTGAACGCAGCATCAGCTTCATCCCTCCTGATGGAGAATTTGAGCTCATGAGGTGCCCTGAGGGTGTGAGGAGGGAGGGGATGCTGCTGGCAGCAGGAGGAGAGGGAGCAGGGCAGGCTCTGTGTGCTAACCTTGCTGTTCCCTGTTTCTAAAGGTACCGCACCACCAAGGACATCATCCTTCCTTTCCGCGTGATCCCACTGGTGCGGGAAGTGGGGCGCACTAAGCTGGAGGTCAAGGTGGTCATCAAGTCCAACTTTAAGCCCTCATTGCTAGCCCAAAAGATTGAGGTGAGGACAAGGGGCTTAGGGAGGAGAAAGAACTTGTCTCCAGGTGTAAGGGTAGCTGATGTTGGGGTTCGTTGGAGTTCCCTGACAGGTATGCCACTTCTAGGTGAGGATCCCGACTCCCCTGAACACAAGCGGGGTGCAGGTGATTTGCATGAAGGGCAAGGCCAAGTACAAAGCCAGTGAGAATGCCATCGTCTGGAAGTGAGTCTTTTCTTCATGAGGCCATAGTTGGGCTCAGGCTGCCTTAGCATGACCTTACTAAGTTTCAGCTTTTCTCCTTTGAGTGTATGGGTGCGTGTAGGGGCATGGTTTGTGTTTTGGCTTCCCTTCTGAGCCCTTACACCTCTGTATATGTCTACACATGCATGCATTACATTTTTCAAGATGCTTTAATGTTTCCCCACTTATCCTTGTAATAATTCTGTGACAAAGCAAGGGGTAGTATGCACACATACGTAAGCAGACGTTGTGGCCCAGTGCTATAGGAATAACAAACTAAACATTGCATAACAAGTGGTTGGCAGGACCCTGACCACTTTTCCTTGCCCTGCCACCTCCCACAAGCTCTCGGCCTGTCTGCACCCGGCCCAAGTAGGGTACCCCTCCCCTTTGAAACTTCTCATGGCTACCAAGGGCACTTGCTGCTCATTGCCCCTGTGTTCCCAGGATCAAGCGAATGGCAGGCATGAAGGAATCGCAGATCAGTGCAGAAATTGAGCTTCTGCCCACCAACGACAAGAAGAAATGGGCTCGACCCCCCATTTCCATGAACTTTGAGGTATGGCAGAAGAGGGGCGGGCCTATTGCAGGGAGTGCTAGGAAAGAACCGAGAGCATTCAGATCTACCTGTACCTTACAGAGGAGGACACTGAGACTTAGAGAATCAGTGACTGTAATTCTTAGGCCCATTTCTAACCCTTCAGGCCTCTTAGGTGAAATTGTATTCACGTAGACTACAACCTGATTTGTCATGGGCTATTGTAAAACAGTTCTGAGCTCTGGTAGCGTAGTGGTTATGAATCAGGCTGCTAACCTCAGGGTCAGCAGTTTGAAACTACCAGCTGTTCCGCAGGAGAAAGATGAGGCTTTCTGCTCCTATAAAGATTTACAGCCTCAGAGACCATGTACAGGGTCGCTATGAGTCGGAAGCGACGCCATGGCACATAACAATTGTAAAACAGTTCTGTGGAAAAGCTTAGATTATGTGATTGCCAAGTAAAACACAAAGTTTACTCACCGGAAAATGGGCTGACTTTGCTTTGTGCATGTTGGATGCATACTTTTCTTATTTTTTAAGTTCATAATATGGAGCAGGATGAATATATTCTAAAGCCATTCTTTAGTTGCTGTTTTCCTGCTGATAAACACAGGCAGGCATGACTTCAAACCCAAGATAATTGCTTGTTACTCTTATACATACTTTAGTAACCACTGAGTCGTCCTCACCACCCCAGCTTCTTTCAGGATCCCAACCATTCAAACACTTACAGTGGAGATATGTTAGGGCAGGACTGTGGAACTTCCCAGAGCATGGCTCTGAGAGGAAGGCCACATTCCTAACTGGAGCTGTCTCTTGCACAGGTGCCATTTGCACCTTCTGGCCTTAAGGTGCGCTACTTGAAGGTGTTTGAGCCGAAGCTGAACTACAGCGACCATGACGTCATCAAATGGGTGCGCTACATTGGCCGCAGTGGCATTTATGAGACCCGCTGCTAGCTACCCAGTGGCAGCTAGCCCACCTCCCCCAGCCACCCTCTCCACAGGCCCAGGTGCCCCCAGCTACCACACATCAGTGTCTCCTCCCCTCTCCTGCTTTGCTGCCTTCCCTTTGCACCAGTTCCTAAGTCTAGATCTTGACCAACCCCACTGCGAGCAGGACTGGTGGAGCAGTCCCTGGACTCCCTGGGCAGGGGAGGTTCTGGTGCTCCTGCTCCTCCATGTCTGTACTGGCCCTGTGCCAGGCATGAGTTCTGTGACCAAAGCCAGGTGGGCCCCCTCTCCTCCTGTCCCTGTGGCCACATCTCTCTGGAGTGGTAGGGTTGGCTGCCCTTCACCTCGGAGCTTCCCCAAAGGCCAGTAAAGGATCCCCAGCCCTCAGTCCCTACTCTGCTTTGGGATAGTGTGAGCTTCATTTTGTACATGTGTGACTTTGTCCAGTTATAAACCCAATAAACTCTGTAGAGTGGAGTTGTCTAAGTGTTGATGTGGTAGCTACATGGGGAAAGGGGGACTAGGAGGATTGCTTTTCCCACATTTCTTACATTGCCTGCTTTGGGTAGGATTTTCTGTTTTGGCCTCTCAAGGCTCTTTCCTTGTCTCAATTGCTAGGTTTCTCCTCAGCTATGGAAGCCTTTATCCTCAAAGGGCCTGGCCCCAAATCTCCTGGTTCCTTTGAGAAAAAAACAGCCTTGAGGGCAAGCAGCCCCATATGGCCCTAGTTCCCTGAGGTTAGAGAGTCTTTCAATAATTCACTCAGGTATTCTCCAATTAGGCAGATTAACAAGGTTTACTTTTGTATTTCCAGTGATCTGACAAACTGACCTCTTTCATCCTTTTCTCATTTACCTTGGCTTTCCTTAAACCTGGTGGATCAGTAATAAAAGAAAAGATCTGATTCTTCCTTGGCCTATTCCAACCTCTAAAATATGGTGTGGTAAGCTTGTGCCTGAAGGAAATGTTCCATCATCCATGTTGTATGTTGATCTAAGTGCTGTCAAGTCAGTTCCAACCCATAGCGACCCTGTAGAGGAGGGTTTCCAAGGAGCGGCTAGTGAGCTTGAACTTTGCAGTCTAGCACATTTACCCATAGTGCTACACCAGGACTTCCCTATGTTGTGTTATTGCTATTAAGTGCTGATGAGTTGGTTCAACCCATAGCGACATTGTATAGGGTTTCCTAGGAGCGACTGGTGAATTTGAACCACTGACCTTGCCGTTCAAACCTCCTTTGCAGTGCAACGCATTAACCCACAGGCCACACCAGGACTATGTTGTTTAGGGGCAGATAAAAGATTTGCCACGTCCGATTTCTCTTGCTTGGTTTCAGCCTTTTTAAAACAAAAGATCTGTTCTAGAAAATCGCAAATATACAAAAGTAGAATGAGCTCTAACATTCTGTAGAGCAGTGGTTACAAATCGGGCTGCTAACCTCAGCGTCAGCAGTTCAAAACTACCAGCTGTTCCACAGAAGAAAGATAAGGCGTTCTGCTCCCATAATGATTTACAGCCTCTGAAACCCTGTACAGGGTCAGGGTCACTATGAGTCGGTACCGATTCCACGGCACATAACATGTTCTGTCACCCAACTTCAACAATTACCAAGTCATGGTCAGTCCCTGAATATCACATGCAATCCGAGTTCACACTTTATGCAATTCACCTGTAAATTTTTCCAACTTGTATCTGGATCCAAACAAGGTTCATTCATTATGCTTGGTTGATGCTGCTTTATGAGTCTTAATATAATCGATAGGTCTCCCTTAGCATTTTCACTTTTCTCTCGAATCGGAAAGCCTGTTCATTAGTTTCCCAGTCAGAGTTTTTCCCGTTTTATCCTTGTGATGTCACTTAAAATGCTCTATTTCCTACATTATTAGGTTAGCAGATCTAGAGGCTTGACAGATTAAATATTGCCATTGTGAGGAATCAGTCCTTTATCCGAAATTCTCGTTGGGAGACTCAAATGTAGTCCCTGATTGTCTTGCCTGTCCGCAGGGAGCGGGCAGAGGTCGGCGGGACTGGCTTCACATGTGTGAAAAGGACCAAGCGCAGGTCCTGTGGCCACCAGGCTGGGCTGAGAAGTCCGCAAGGCCTGAGGACCCAAACAAGACAGGCGCTCAGAGGATTGCTTCTGAAAGCAGAAATTCTGGATTGACGTGAGTCAGCAAAGCTTTCGGCGGGCTCCAAAATGGATCCGGCTGAAGGCGTAGCGGCACACGCGCCTCAAGGGAAGCGCATAAACTCCAGCATGGCTGGAGTATCAAGCCCCTGTCTCCAGAGGCAGGGGAGGTTCCCACCCACCGATAAATCCTAAATTCCCTTGCCACCCTCCACTATGCTCTCACAGCCTAAAAGCCACCTCCCACAAGTCAGCGAGAACCGTACATGTGGCTAACCTTTCAGCGGTAAAAAGCGTCGCGCATGCGCAGAGAGAACCTCCGGCGTTGGCTGAACCGCGCTTGCGCACCATTGTTTCAGCGCGGTTCGCTCCACCTATCGAGTTCCCTGCACGCGGTTCCCTTTTTTTTTTTTTTTTTAAATAAAAACGTCACCGACGCGCATGCACTCTTGAAGGAGGGAAGCGATTTCGGGAGAAGGGCAAGGGACGGGTCTTAGCGGAGGTCTTAACGGAGACTGCGCGGACGGTAGCCCCACAGGAACATGGCGACTTGCGCTGAAATCCTGCGGAGCGAGTTCCCCGAAATTGACGGACAGGTCTTCGATTATGTGACGGGTGAGCCAAAACCGAGTCAACGGGCTGGAAAGGCAGAAGAAGAGGTCGGGGTAAAGACTAAGGGAGGACAGTGCCAGGGATCGCTGCCGGGTCTCTCTTCTGCGTGACCTCTTGTCCCAAGGGCCGGTTGGGTCGGGAGTCCGGACTGGGGCCGCAGATTAGGTACTGAACTGTATGCTTGTAAAAGATAATTGTTTGTTGTCTTCCTCGTCCTGCCACATCTGGCCTAGGTGTTTTGCACAGCGGCAGCGCGGACTTCGAGTCAGTGGATGACCTGGTAGAAGCTGTGGGGGAACTGTTGCAAGAGGTGTCCGGGGACAGCAAGGATGACGCGGGCATCAGGGCCGTGTGTCAGCGCATGTACAACACTCTGCGCCTGTATGTGCCCGGGTGATGGGAGAGGGCGGATGGTCGAGAGATGAGACGTGGGACAGAAGATCTGTTGGCGGTGAAGCTTTCTTTTCAACTCCTAACTGTATACTATCTTTCCCTACCCTCAAGTGCTGAGCCACAGAGCCAGGGAAACAGCCAGGTGTTACTGGACGCCCCCATCCAGTTGTCAAAGATAACAGAGAACTACGGTGAGAATGAGGGAAGATTGATATAGCGGCCCTCTGTACTTTTCTCAGTCTCTGCCCCTTCCCAGCCAGCCTCTTGCTCCCCAGGAGTGCAGAACCCCAATCCTTTCCACAGGACAAGGTTGTAGAAGCTAGTTGGTGTCTTTACTGAGGGCAGAAGAGCCCAAGATAAAGGGAGTAGTGTTGGAGTTTTCTAAGCTCTTTGGTATGCCAGGAATCATTTGAGCCTTGAGGCTGGATGGACTTTGCAATTTTGCAACTTACTAACTTGCGCTTATGTGCCCTAGCCTCTGTATCTTTATTTCTGGGTGTTGTTAGTTTGTTTGTTTTTGAAATGGGAGTGGAGGGGGGAGGGTGTGGGAAGAAGAGAATAGCTAGCTATCCCCAGATTTGTAAGGCTTTCATGAAACTGTGTTTGTACTTGGATCATATTAGTCACTCAAAATGTTAGTTTCCCTTCCCTCAGGAAGAAGGTGACTGCTTTTCTTATCACTTACAGACTGTGACACCAAACTTCCAGGACTGCTAAAGAGGGAACAGTCCTCGGTGAGGAATGGGCTGGGGAATGATTGTCTGGCTATTGGAGTATCTTTCTGAAAGATTTCTGATTATCTCTTTCTCTGAAACTTTAAGTCTTGTTCATCATGGGCGGGTTGAAAGGGGTTAACTTGAGTTGTTCTGTCTGGGAATTCCTTTGTGAGCTTACATCCTAGGGTGAAATGATTGTGTTTCAACCCATAGACAGTGAATGCAAAGAAGCTAGAGAAGGCTGAGGCTCGACTGAAGGCAAAGCAGGAGAAGCGCTCAGAGAAGGACACACTCAAGACTAGCAACCCCCTGTGAGTGTTGGAACAATGACTCCAAGCAGAAGAGTGCAGAGCAGTCTCAGCTGGGTGGGTGAGAATGCTAAAGTCATCCATTTCTCCCTTAAAAGAGTCCTGGAAGAGGCATCAGCCAGTCAGGCAGGCAGCAGAAAAGAGAGTCGTTTGGAATCATCTGGCAAGAACAAATCCTACGATGTGCGAATTGAGAACTTTGATGTGTCTTTTGGAGATAGGTGAGGGCATGGAAGTGGGAGTGGCATTCTTTTTCTAATTAAAGGAGAATTTGGAGGGATGATATGGAGCTAAAACAGTGCTAGTTCTCTGTTTTTAAAGTTGCTATGCACCAATCTCTAAAACACCCTTATTTTCCCACCACACCTGCAGGGTACTGCTGACAGGTGCAGATGTGAATCTGGCCTGGGGCCGTCGTTATGGGCTGGTGGGGCGAAATGGTCTAGGAAAGACAACTCTGCTAAAGATGCTGGCCACTCGGAGCCTGCGGGTTCCCGCCCACATTTCCGTGCTGCACGTAGAGCAGGAGGTTGCTGGTGATGATACCCCAGCCCTACAGAGTGTGCTAGAGAGTGACACTGTGCGAGAGGACCTCCTGCGTCGGGAGCGGGAGCTCAGTGCCCTGGTCGCCTCTGGCAGGTGAGCAGTCCAGGCTAGGGACTGGCTGGCTGCAGGTGCCCTGCACAGATTGTCTGCCTAACTGTCACACTCCATAACTCTCACCAGTTCTAGCAAGCAGCAGAACCTACAACTCTAAAGCCCTTGTCCCTTCCACAGTGTCCACTGCCCTCACTTCCTGGGACAAGTCCTCCTGTATGCTATTCCTGAACCAGCAACAAGCCAAGTCAGTGGCCCACCTTCCAATCGTATAGGGTGCAGGACATCTGCCTAGACTGCCCCCCTCCAGCTGATTGCTCTCCTCCTTCTCCCCGGTCCCCAGGGCAGAAGGCTCCGAAGCTACACAGCTAGTGGAAATCTATGCCAAATTGGAGGAGATTGAGGCTGACAAGGCACCTGCCAGGTATGCGAGTTCTCCTTCCCCCTCTTCAGATTTCTCCTTTCCCTTTTGTCTCATGTTCAATGAACATAATTCTATTTCTTCACTCCTAGGGCATCAGTCATTCTTGCTGGGCTTGGCTTTACCCCTAAAATGCAGCATCAGCCCACCCGGTGAGTGGTCCTTGCCATTTTTGGCTTTGAACACTGTTGGCTCTGCCTGCACCTGCCCCGGCGAGCCTTCCCCCTGATGTGGCCCTGTCTTGTTTTAGGGAGTTCTCAGGTGGCTGGAGAATGCGGTTGGCCCTGGCCCGGGCCCTGTTTGCTAGGTGAGTCTCTGGGACCTGAGCCTGGGGTCCTGTGGTGGATGGGTCTTGGTTCTTGGGAAGTGGCCTGTTAAAGCCTCATGCCTGTATTACTTTTTTCTTGTAGGCCAGATCTTCTGCTCTTAGATGGTGAGTTTGGAATGGGTACTCTGACTTTGGCAGAAGTAAGTGCAATAGCATCCAGACCCCTGGTTCTTCAACCCCAAATGTGTGCCCCTTCACTCCTTTTCCAGAACCTACAAACATGCTAGATGTCAGGGCCATTTTGTGGCTGGAGAATTATCTGCAGGTGAGTGCCTGCAGGCACACGGGTGGGTCTGGGGTACATTTGCCTCTAAGAGACACCTGTAGGGCTAAGGGCTGACTGCCCTCCCAAACTGGGCCTGCCATCCTGTGACCCCCCTCAGACATGGCCCTCCACAATCCTAGTCGTCTCTCACGACCGCAACTTCCTGAATGCCATCGCCACAGACATCATCCATCTGCACAGCCAGCGCCTGGATGGATACCGGGGAGACTTTGAGACCTTCATCAAGAGCAAGCAGGAGCGATGGCTCAACCAGCAACGGGAATATGAGGCACAGCAGCAGTATCGTCAGCACATTCAGGTGTGGGGCAGGCAGACTTAGGGCTCTGCCCCAGGGGTGTCAGAGGTGGGGAAGTGAGGTGCCTAATCAGCCCCCATACCCTTCCACTCACAGGTTTTCATTGATCGGTTTCGCTATAATGCCAACAGGGCCTCTCAAGTGCAGAGTAAGCTCAAGATGCTGGAGAAACTGTGAGTATCATGTACTTGGTCAGGCCCTGACTCCTGACTTTCTTAACTTCCTCCCTCACTTTGCAGGCCACCCTTGTCTTCTCATTCTAGGTCTCTCCTTTAATTTGCTTTCCTGTCCTTGGGGTTAATCCTTACCACTTACCTAATCTAGCTCTGCAGTTTGCCTTTTCTGGATATTTTATATAAATGGGATCATACAATATGTATCTGGTTTCTTTCCTTAGCATAATGTTTTCAGGGTTCATCCATGTTGTAGTATGTGTCAGTACTTCACTTCTTTTTATAGCCAGATAATAATTTCATCGTATGGTTATATCACATTTTGTTAATCCTTTCATCAGTTGATGGCCATTTGGGTGTTGCTACTTTTGGCTTTCATGAATAGTGATGTTCCACTTACCATAAAATGAACTCATGTAAAGTCTACCATTCAGTGGCCTTTTATATATTCAAACTTGTGCAACCATCAGCACAGTTTTAGAATATGCATACTTTTATTTAGAAAAGATCACTCACTGTGGCAGTAGCTGAACAGACAGCACACTGGAGGAGAACAAGGCAGGAAATGGAAAAACCAAATAAGAGCCCTGGTAGCATGATGGCAAAGCACTCAGCTGCTAACTCAAAGGTCCTGGTTTGAATACACCAGTGTCTCAATAGAAAAAAGCAAATTGTGACCTGCTGCCTTAAAGATTCACAGCTTGGGAAACCTGAGGCTATTATGATTCTACTCCACAGCACCTAACAATAAAAACAGCAACCTAAGAGAGATAAGGATGGTGGACCAAGGCAGTGTTAGTTCTGCTTCAGAGAACTGTGCTGGGTCAGAACGTTGGGAGATAGAATTCATCATTCACTGGTTGCCAACTCCAATGGGTATCACTGGACCACCAACATGGCAACTTTCCATATTTGCGTCTTTTTTGTAAAGTTCATTTTATTTAATTTTTTGTATACTTTAGTTTGTTAAGTTTTTGTTGTGAATTGAGTACAAGTTTACAGGGCAGATCATCAGTTTTACATTCAACAAAGCATATACTTTGTATCATTACAATGATTGTAATTCCCTCCATGTACCATCAGTTAACAATATTTCTCTCTATTCATTTTAGCTTTTTTTTTTAAAACACTCAGGCATATATAATAATTTAAACCACAAAAGGGCACATTCTGCAAGCCTGCCTCCTGGCCACTAGCTCTCTTTCTAAGAAACTAGAGTTCCTCTTTTTCCATGAATCTAGAGTCCTCAGCAGCTTTCTCTTTCCATGTCCCCATCTCTGCCTCCATTTGTTGTGGTGTTGCTTCTCTGGATGGGGTCAAGCATTCCACTTGTGCTCTTCTCCCTTGCTGGTCCTAGGGTCCTCTGTTTCTGGACTGTAAGAGTAACTACTCCCCCGTTTGGGTTACAAAATTTCTACCTCTACAATTGTGACAGTCGCAATTAGTCATGATAACAATTACTCACTATTGAATCATAAGAATCTTATCCCCATCTCTTTTCACCAGACCCATCTAGACAAGATGAAAACTATTCAGTGGGGACTCTTTCTTCCCCCACACACTCTTAAACTAAACTCCCTTTTGAAACCTTGTAAGCCTGTCACTTCGTGCCTTTATTGCCCCCTCATCTTAAGTAAGCAATGTCTAAGTTGCCTGTCCCTATCTACCCTGTATACAGAAGGGATAGCATTGATAATTGATGTGAAGACTCCTTCCTTCTCTGTTGGTATTTTGAGCTACTACCTCCATGAGTATAGGTCAAGCTCATAAAATTGTAGCAATTTACCCTCATTTCTTTTATCAAAAAAATTTTTTTTTGTTATCTTCCATAGTCGAGTTCTGATTATCAAGCCATCAAGCCTAGGTCAAATGGGTACTATCTGCAAGTTTGGGTGTTCTTGTGTGTCTCCCCTCAATTCATATCAGCTGGATGCTTCACTCTCAGCCCTAGCCTTCTGTGGTTATGTCCTTGTCCATGGGCTCAGGTGCCCCCAGGTCTTACCACACTTTGAACCAACCAGCCTTTCCTCTTCTCTCATCTCCAGCTCAACGGGATTCTGTGGAGCATGGTTGAACTCAGGCCATTTCTTCATTGTTGCCTTTCCCCCTCTTCCACTCACCAGTAGACCAATGTGGTCAACAGCAAGCTTACATGCCTGCTCATGTGTTCCCTTTTTCAGTTTTAGAGGGCGATTCGTCATGAAGGAACTTTATTGCTTTCCTTGATGGCTTTCCAGCGAACAGCTGCTTGTTCTTGTAGTAGCCAATCATGCTCATACTTTTGTTTTGGGTTTTTCCTGATGATCTTTCTTTGAAGATGTATTTTCTGTCGCTCTAGCTGTTCCAGGGTGGTCTGCTTGTCCTTCCTAGTGGGAATGTCCCATCTCAGAAGGCTGTGGATGGGGCTCAGGATTCCACCTAAGGTCCTATACACTGCAAAGGCTCTGCAAGAGGTCTATTTCACTGGGCAAGTTTTAGAACCCCTTTTAGGTATTCCAATCATTTATAGGCTGAAGACAGGCTTACAAGTTTTCTGTAGTCATGTTTCCTGACATTCCTTTCTGTCCTACTAAAAGTGTCTATTTTACAATAGTAGGCAAGGGAAACCAATATTCATAAGATAGTCAAGCATCTTAACATTATTTCCCCTCTTTTACCCATTCAGACTATCCCTTGATCCCTGTATCCCAGAGCCCTGTTGTTCTAAGGTTGAGCATGCATCACTATTTACCTCTGTCCCATTTAGCCCATGCAAACCTGCTCAGTGTTCCCCTGTCTACCTTGTTCTTCCACCCCCTCCCTCATCTAGGTTTTTGCATGGACAGATATTTTCACTTCTTTTGGGTCTATACCTAGGAATGGAATTGTTGGATCATATGGTAACTCTGTTGCATTTTTGAGGAACTGCCAAGGTGTTTTCTAGAGTAGCGGCTTCTAGTGTGGCTCCCTCTTCCCAACACCTACTGTCTGCCTTTTTAGTTTTAGCTATTCTGGAGAGTGAAATGGGATCTCATTGTGGTTTTGATTTGCATGATAATTTCATTGAGATGTGGGGCGGCTACCAAAGGATAGTTCTCTTTTTCAGCAGTACATAATGCACTAGTAGAATAGCCTCCATAAGAATATCATCTAGATAGTAGGACTTCAAGGTTTTTTTGTTGATTATACACCCCGAACTCCACCTTGACATGATTAGATCCTAAAGACCTGATTTTTCAAAAATCAGTGTTATATGACAGTGGAGAATGACCACATCAGATCACAAAATAGAGGAAGACTAAACCATTACATAATTGCCAAATTACATCCTTACATAACTGCCAAGCCACAGAGAATCATGGCCCAATCAAACTGACATAACCTTAACCAGCACAGCCAGTGTTATTCTCGCCTAGTAACCTGGTGTTCATTACTACCAGACGTACGTCATTAACCCATAAAATTGTCAACTAGTGAATTTTTTACTGTTGTCAGTGCAAAATGTTGGATAACAAGATAATAAGTAAAGAATAGGTGTATATTAACTGTGCAATGACTACAGTTAAAGTTATATTTTTAGAGTCTTCAAGCTAGCCCACTCTCTCTCTCTCCTCAGACCAGAACTGAAACCTGTGGACAAAGAGTCAGAGGTGGTAATGAAGTGAGTGCTTGGCCTGAGGGGCTGGTGTGGGAGGTCTTCTCTGGTCTTCCCCATGCTCCTCACCTCCACCTTCTGCAGGTTCCCTGACGGATTTGAGAAGTTCTCACCGCCAATCCTGCAGCTGGATGAAGTGGATTTCTACTATGATCCTAAGCATGTCATCTTCAGCCGTCTCTCCGTCTCTGCTGATCTCGAGTCTCGCATCTGTGTGGTAAGGTTACCTTTCCCCTTTCTCTTTTCCTTGTGGGACTCTCCTCCCACACCAGGTAGTGTGGACTGACTCCAGAACTAAGTCTGCTAAGGGAAGGGAGGCAGGAAGCAGGAGGCCTGGACCAGAGACTTTGCTATAGTGACACTGCCCCATCCACTAGCCTCATAGGGACACTCATGCCCAGAAAATAAAGCTAACATGTGGTGGTTTATTAATACTTGGTGTTGTTGTGTGTGACACAGAGAGAGAACATGGATCAGAGTTCAGATCCTGGCTCCGCCCTTCCTAGCTTGGTTACTGTCGTAGCTCTCTGGTGCTGCTATAAGAGAAGGACCACACGTGGAGGCTTTAACAAACAGAGGCTGCAAGTCCAAATTCACAGCTCTGCAGGAGTTTCTGCTCTTGGACACTCTTCACGTAGCTTGGCATCTCTCTTCCCCATCTTTTCACTTTATGTTTAAAAAGATTCGCCTTAAGGCACACCCTACACTAATGTTCTCTCACAACTCATCCCCATAGGGGTTAGGATTCACAACATGTTGTAGGGGACACAATTCAACCCATAACAATTTCTAAGCAGTTTCCTCATCCTTAAAATGGAGATTGTTGTTGTCATTGTGAAGGGCTGGCGAGTCAACAACGACTCATAGCAACCCTGTATAGGGTTTCTGAGAAGCAGAAACCATATACAGTGCCACACCAGGAGTCTTAAAATGGAGATATTGGCACCAAACTTCCCAAGTGTTGGGATCTTTCAATCCACAACACTCAGTAGGCACTCAATTATTGGTTCTCTTTATACTTTACTTATTCCATTTTTCTCTATCGGTCCTTAAAAGTGTTTTGTTTGTTGAATGCTTCGTGACTACCAGAGACCCGTTCTCATCTTCCCCTCTGTGTCTCACATGCGCTTACTCCTTAAGGTGCTCAGGTTTCTTCTTACAGGTTGGGGAGAATGGAGCTGGAAAATCCACCATGCTAAAGCTGCTTATGGGGGATCTGGCACCTGTTCAGGGCATCAGACATGCTCACAGGTAAGACCCCACCCTCATCTCATATACTTGTACCCATTCACTGTAGCTCTACTCCTTTATAGCCAGCAGTCGTCTCTGCCCTTTTCTCAATTCTGCCTATAGGAATCTGAAGATTGGCTACTTCAGTCAGCACCATGTGGAGCAACTAGACTTGAATGTTAGCGCTGTGGAACTGCTGGCACGGAAGTTTCCTGGTGTGTTACGGATTTGAGTTGAGGGGAGTAGGGCAGAGCTGAGCCCAGTAGTTAGACCTGCCTGGGGGTGGGTGCTGAGTAGCCAGCCCAAATCTAGGTTGAGGACCTGGGCATACGGAGGTGAAGCCAGGCAGTTGGGCCAGGAACTCACATGATGGGGTGGGGCCTCTTCCAGGGCGACCAGAGGAGGAATATCGTCACCAGCTGGGCCGATACGGCATCTCTGGAGAACTGGCCATGCGCCCTGTGGCCAGCTTGTCTGGGGGACAGAAGAGCCGGGTGGCTTTTGCTCAGATGACCATGCCCTGGTGAGGCCTCACTTTCTAGAGCTCTTGCCTGCCTGTCTTCCCCTCTTGTCCAATAGAAAATAATCCTCACTTTCAAATCAAAGAAATTCCTTTCCTCCCTCTGCCCCCCATAACTTCCTGGACTCTGCCTTCCAGCCCCAACTTCTACATTCTGGATGAGCCCACTAACCACCTGGACATGGAGACAATCGAGGCTCTGGGCTGTGCTCTCAACAATTTCAGGGTGAGTGTGCCTTCATGCTGATCATTCCCCTCACTGAGCATCCCTCGGGGCCCCTGAGCGCAACTTGCTCTCTTCTCTTTCAGGGTGGTGTGATTCTGGTCTCCCATGATGAGCGCTTCATCCGGCTGGTGTGCCAGGAGTTGTGGGTGTGTGAAGGAGGTGGAGTCACCCGGGTTGATGGGGGCTTTGACCAGTACCGTGCCCTTCTCCAGGAACAGTTCCGCCGGGAGGGCTTCCTCTAGGGCCACCAGGCTGATGACTGTGTCCAGGACATGAACTGCTTTCTCAGACTCCTGGCCCACCATCTCCAGGCCATGGACTTCCCCCAACCTGGGGACAGCCTTATTCCCAAATCTCCTTTTGACTGGAGCATTCTGTGCACAACCTAGAGAACCCCATCCAAGGGTTTGTGAGGACTGGTCTCCCAGGGGGAGGAGTGGGGTGCTCTCTGAGGCTCTTTCTGGGCCCTGAGTGGCTGCTGTGTAAATTAAACTTCCCAGTGTATCGCCCTCGCCTCATGTTCACTGTTCCCTGGGTAGGGCTGCAGTGCTTTATACTCACTCTTGACTCGGTGTTTTCCAGGGTCTTAATCTCACAGAGGACACAGAGCAGACCTCATCAAGGCTGCTGGGCGTCCAAGTACCTGCCTGCCCCTGGGGTCAGCTGAGCTGGTGGGATGGAGGGACAGTGGGTTGGCATCACTAGGATGCTGCTCCCTTGTCCTGGGCTCAGCTTAGTGAAGGACTCTTGGGCTCTGCTGTCTCGGCCCCTCCACTTAGAAGATTGAATTGATAACTGCAACCTGGTCTCAGACAGGATTTGCCAACTACATTCTCCAGTGGTCTGGGACCCAAACTCACCTGACCTCTCTAAATTGAACCCCCAGGGCTGAAGAAAAACCATCTACTGCCATCTTCCTTGGGTAATTTGATGCCCTTTGTTTTTCCTTTGGTCACGTAGGTGGGGCCTGGGATGTGGGGGAATTGAGAATAGTCTAATGGAAAGAAATTAGACACTTCGCTTTCAAATTAAACTTTGTTTGAGCAGAACAAGAGATGTTTAATGAAGTAATACGGTTTTTAAATATCTCTTGAGGGGCCTTACTGCTGTATATAATTATTATGAAGAAAACACTGAAAAAAAGACACTGCTTTGCCTCAACTTGATGACAACAGAGACACCAAATTCATCAGAAGGGACTGGCTGGCTTCATGGAGATTGTAGTCACAAAGCTCAGCCAGGGAATCTTAACTCGGAGCTGTCCTTAACTCGGAGCTCCCTGGGAGAGGGAACCTTGTTTGGGTATAGATGGAAATAATGACAGGACAGCTCTCTTGAGTTTCTACAGAGCTGCTTTGATGGACTGATGAAGTTGGCAGAAGGATCTTCATCTCTGCCTGGCTCCTTAGTCTCCCTTCCTCAGGCATCTAGAGGAGCTATTCCTCCAGCCATGTTGATGGCCACATGCACTCAGTGCTTCTGAAAGGCCCTCCAGCCCCCAGTCACCTCCAGTCTCAGGCCTGCGAATGGGTGCGACAGGAACCATCGCTGGTAGGATTTGTGCCTGTTCACCAGGCTTTCAGCTCCTTTACCTCTCACAAGCCTAGGAGTTTCCCAATTCATTGGGAGATCCTGGAGATACAGTTGAAGAGGTCTGTCCTGCTCCTTTGGAGGTGGCTTTATGTGCAGTAAACACTGGAGTTAGATCTAAGATCAAATCCTAGTTCAATTACTAGTAATAGAAGGAATTAACAATTATTTGCTGAGTACCACACCCTCCATCTGTTACTTGGAAACGCTATACAGGGTAACTGAATCAGAATCTGCTCCATGACGCTTAACAACAACCCTACAACAAATTATTTAACTTCGCCAGTCACTGACTAGGTTTCCTTACAGGATTGTTGTGAGAATTTGCTAACAAGCACATAAGGCACTCGGAATGTAATTCCTCTGTGGCTAGAGAGGGAATCTCGGGTAGGAGGCAGCACCAGATGGCCTCCGGGGTTGCCTTCCAATTTTATGATTCCAGGAAGTGAGCTTTAAACTGCTGTGTATTCCTTGAAGCCTGGCCTCTCGGCTTCCGCCCTGAATTAACTCACCAGCCTCTTCTGAAGCACCCTGGCTGGTTCCCAGTGGGAGGCAGAATGTAGAGATACAGAAAGGGTTATGGGTCTCGGCACCAGTCTACAGATTTGTTGTTAGGTGGCATCAAGTTGGTACCGACTCATAACGACCCAATGCACAACAGAACAAAACACTGCCCAGTCCTGGGCCAACCTCACAATTGTTGCTATGCTTGAGCCCATTGATGCTGCCACTTTGCCAATCCATCTCGCTGGGAATCTTTCTCTTTTTCTCTGGCCTTCCATCCTACCAAGCATGACATCCTTCTCCAGGGAATGGTCCCTCCTGACAATAAGTCTGAAGTAGGAGAGATGAAGTCTGGCCATCCTGGCTTCCAAGGAACACTCTGGCTGTACTTCATCCAACACAGATTTATTTGCTTTCTTGGCAGTCCATGGTAATTTCAATATTCTCCAACACCATAACTCAAATACATTAATTCTTCTAAGGTCTTCCTTATTCACTGTAGTTTTCCCATGCGTATGACTGTTCCCTCCTGACAGGATGTCTGAAGTATGAGAGACAAAGTCTGGCTATCCTGGCTTCTTCCAAGGAGCACTATGGCTGTACTTCATACACTTTAGTCCTCAAGGTGACATCTTTGCTCTTCAACGCTTTAAAAAGGTCTGGTGCAGCAGATTTGCCTAATGCAATACGTCGTTTGATTTCTTGACTGCTGCTTCCATGAGTGTTGAAAGTTGATCCAAGAAGAATGAAGTCCTTGACAACTTCAGTCATATCTCTGTTGATAAGGATGTTGTTTATTGGTCCAGTGGTGAGGATTTTTGTTTTCTTGACATTGAGATGCAATCTATACCAAAGGTTGTGGTCTTTGATCTTCATCAGTAAGTATTTTAAGTCTTCTTCACTTTGAGCAAGCAAGGTTATATCATCTGCATATCACAGGTTGTTAATGAGTCTTCCATCAATGCTGATGCCATATTTTTCTTCATATAACCCAGTTTCTCAGATTATCATTACAGTATATTAGTGCTAGATTAGATTCATTGGATATAGGCAATATTATACTAAGCTTTCTGATTTCCAGGCAAATTTTAGCATGAAGTGGGAGAATAAACTCACTGCACCTTTCACTCTGGAATGAAAAAACATCCTGCTAAGGCCACTCTTCAGAGATTCATGAAGCCTGGATCTGGTCTGTTCACTGTAACAAACCAAACAAGACCCCTGCCATTAGCACCACAACTCAGCATCAGGCAAGCCTGCCACACTGGTTGTCTGCCTATGAGTGCAATCCTGGCACACAAGTGGAGGGTCCAGACTGTGGAGGGCTTTCATGACTAGACTGATTGGCCCACATGTAGGGGTCCCTGAACTGGTAGTGATGGACTCCCCTCAGCTAGGCTCCCATTGCACTTTGTGCTGCCCCCATCAGAACATAGACACTGCTGCATACCAGCAGTCAGTGTTGTCTTCACTTTGCATATGTTTGCAGGTCAGACCCTGGATTACTCTGCATCTTCTGTGACTGACATAGGTTGGGTTCCCCGGAAAGCAGCTCTGAGGATGTCTATTAGGGGGTGCTCTTGAGCTCGACACCCATGGAATGGGGCAAGAGGCAGGGTGGAACAGAGGGAGAGATTAAGTGGCAAAGTTGCCACAGTGAGAGCTCAGTCAACTCCACAGAAAGCTCTGGAGCTAGACAAGCCCTGCTGATTAGCATGAGTTGGGGCAGATCAGGCCTCCACACTACTGAGCTGATCACTGTGGATCGAATTGACTTGAAGGCACTTAATGTTAAAACAACAATAATGCTTGGTAAGTGAGTGTTTTGTTGATAGGTGCCATGGAGTCAGTTCCAACTCATAGCAACCCTATGCACAACAGAACAAAACACTACCCAGTCCTACGCCAACCTCAAAATCATTGTGAAGCTTGAGCCCACTGGTGTTGCCACTGTGCCAGTTCATCTCTGGGGTCTTCCTCTTTATTGCTAACCCTCCACTTTACCAAGAATGAGATCCTTCTCTAGGGACTGGTCTCTCCTTATATGTCTTCAGTATAAGAGATGAAATCTGGCTATCCTGACTTCTAAGGAGCATTCTGGTTGTACTTCTTTCAACACAAATTTGTTCTTCTAGCAATCCATGGTACTTTTAATAGTCTCTGACACCATAACTCTCATATCAATTCTTCTACAGTCTTCTTTATTCACGGTCCAGTTTTCACATATATATGAAGCTATTGAAAACACCGTGGCTTGGGACAAGCATACCTTAGTCCTAAAACAAGACATTTTTACCTTGACTACTTGTGCAGCAGATTTGCCTAATGCAAGTAAGTTGATTTATTTCTTGACTGCTGTTTCCATGAGTGTTGATAGTGGATCCAAGCAAAATGAAGTTTTTGACAACTTCAATATTTTCTCCCTTTATCATGATCTTACTTATTGGTTCATTAGTAAGGATTTTTGTTTTCTTTACTTTAAAGGACAACCCAACTGAGAATTGGTCTTTGACCTTAATCAGTAAGTATTTTAAATCCTCTTTGCTTTCAGCATAGTAAACCATATGATTGTCAGATTCAAAATGACTAATACCAGTCCATTTTCAGCTTACTAATGCACCTAGGTTATCGATTTTTAAGTGTTCCATTTCATTTTTTACAACATTCAATTTTCCTAGTTTCATACTTCAAGCATTCCATGCTCTGATTATTAATGGATAATTGCAGCTAGTTGTGCCCCAATTGGCAAATGAAGGTCCTGAAAGCTTTCCTTCATATTGAGGAGGTACTCTTTCCCAGTTGTATGTTTAGTACCTTCCAACCTGAGAGGCTCATCTTCTGGAATTGGATGTGACAATATTCTGGTGCTATTCATCATGACGAGCTCTGGTAGCGTAGTGATTACGAATCGGGCTGCAAACTGCAAGGTCAGCAGTTCGAAACTACCAGCTGCTCCACGGGAGAAAGATGAGGCTTTCTGCTCCCATAAAGATTTACAGCCTCAGAAACCCTG